TTTATTCAAAGATTATGATTAGATTTTCCTCTAAGAATCTAGTTTGCAAAATCTCAACCTCGATAACTATCTAAGCATATACTATACTCGAAACGAAAGCTTTGCATCCCTAAAACAAGTACGTTCGAAAATAGCGAAGCATCCATAGGAATATAAGTAGAGGGGTGCGCAAATGTTGGTTTCCACGTTGACGACACCATGGGAGTGGTGCAGGTGCACATATATCGCGGTAGATTGGATAATGGGCCCCTTAACAACGTAACGGAACGCGGTGTGTGCAGTGTTAACAGAACGATGTTAGAACAGAGAGTGGGAGTGGGACGGAGAGGAAAGGTTGGATGATATGAAAGAAGAGGCGTGTGTGTTAACGACATACGTTGAACGGCATTGAAAGAGCAGACTGGATTTAAGTGTCGTTTCCAACGGGCTGATCCTGTTTGGAACGAACGAAAAGACGTTGGTTGTCGAGACTCTTCTTTCTTCGCGATAGTTTCAAATCACTGTTATAACATGGTACATGTGTACCATGAAAGCCTGTTATTTAACTCCTCCGCGATGCAAATGAGCATTTAGCCAGAGGCTTCCTTAATTGGCTCTGTCTCGCGTGGGAGAGATGGGTAACAAGCGTAAACGTGGTATAAAAATAGTTATATTGACATGTTTCTTAATAATTGTTTTTCTTTTTTTTTTTTCTTTCTTTTTTTTCTTTTTTTTGTGGCATCAAAATTATTTCTTTCAATTTAAAAAGAGAATGAAATGGGGTATCGTATCTTTCGACATCATATCTTTAAAAGTAATCTCTAGATGAATTTCCCTCTACATTTCCCTAAAATATTACTATATTAATTTCATCTTTTACCCTTTTTAATTTCATACTTCGATAGTTTCGAAAAAATCTATTTAAAAATCTCATTTCTTTCTTATAACAAAAAAAAAAAAAACAAAAAGAACGATCGTACCCTATTTTTTATTTTTTTTCTTCCTACTTATTTCGTATTCCAACAACTTCTCTCCTGTCGCAAGATCGCAACAAACGAAGCTATACCCGCAGCAGTCAGGGGAAAAAAAAAGAAAAAGAAGGGTATACTCGTGAAACGTATACGAATTTAAATGAACCCGATCCTTCCGCGTTCCGGTGGATCGTTTCAAATTAAGCGACCGTTTCCGCGGAAAGCTCCGTTATCGTGTTACAAACACGAAGAAATCCACTGACCAGGAAATACATAAGCGGATGCGATGGTAGTCGTGCATCATCGAATTTGAATAAACTCGATCCTTTCGTGTATTTATGCTAGCCGCATCGTCTTCGCGATTTGTATGCGAAGCCATCAATACCGGCTGTATAAATGCTGCTTCCATCTACGCATATGTACAGGGTGTGAATATATTCGTGGCCCACCTGAATCGTTTCTACAGGTTAAAATTAGTACAAAAGTTGGTGTACAACAGTACAAAAATTTATCGAGTTATAAGTTTAATTTAAATTGGGTGAAGCAAGATAGGGTAAATTTATCTGTGTCTCATTTTATTCAAAGCGATTGTTCTTCACTTGGCAAAGCCTCGATCAATATTTTGTGTATATCAAGTTTTGAATTAACTCTTCACGAAATTAACTATTAACATCCTGTGTACTTATATACTTATGATCTACAGTGATATAGATACAAATCGTTCAATCGATTTTTAATTTAGGTTTTATCTATTTGAATATGCGAAAATTGATAGAAATTTGTAGAGATGAGGATATGAAATTTCAATTAGATTCGCATGGTGCGTGTACGATACAAATGTTCCATTGTTGATGGTATCTTTTTTTTATATTGGTATTTTTTTTTTTTTTTTCCTAATATCTGCAATCTTTTCCGACGCTTTCATGTTATTTGATATATTTTATTCCATTTCTAATTTTCTTTTTACTATTAATATTTTCGTTTGAAAATTTAGATTTATTTTCTTTGAAATTTTAACTTTTCTTAGATTCTATTTCCTGAAATGTGAACATTTCAGAAAATTTCAATTCCATCATGATGAAATGTATTCCAAAGGGACTCACATAGGATGATAAATTATTTTTCACCAGTGACACTTCCATATTATAATATAGTGATACTAAATATTATAATATCCATTATTATAATATAGTCTTTTTCTAAAACGATTTTAGAAAATGCGTTTCTGGTTTGAGTAAATACTAAAGATCTTAGCAAAATAGAGAATTTCGATAAAGATAACGATTGAATTTCAATCTTAACTTCGAGGAAGATATAAAAATATTATCATTTTATTAACATTTCTGCTTTTAAAGAGTTTTCTCCTTTTTCAAAAATTAAAAGTCTCCTCACTTACTTACTAAAAACGAAAACAAGATTAGGGAGAAAAAAAAAAAATTTCAAAATAAAGCAAGATATCAAACAATTCTATCTTCTTCAAACCAATTATAAATCTCTGTGATATATAAAACACAGAAGAAAGATTATTCCTTTTTTATATAATAAAAGATATATCGATTTCCCAGCGGAGAATCCTCTTTTCTTTTTATTCGATACGGCGGGGCTGGCTTTCGCCACCCCCAGGGATACATTCGAGGGTCGATACGACGGAATCGAGTTTAGGCACGCATACTCAAACACGTTCTAGCACTTGTTCAAGAAAAAAGCGCGTGAACAGGTTTTGCAGGAAGTTTTTTGATGGACCTCGAAACAATTTGCAATTTTTTCGAGATATCCGGAATAGAAGTGGTTATCCTTCGTTTTAATATTCCTTCAATTTTCAACGAGGCTGATGATTGATTTTATGATGTCCAATGTAGTTTAAGTATTGTAAATGTAACCTTTATATCGGTGAAAAATTTTAATTATCATAATTATATATGCTACGTAATAATACATATAACGTTACATATTTTTAAGAAAAGACTGCTTGTTAAATTGTTATTCGTTAAAAGAACTTATGTAAATATCTAACGTTAATCATAACTGAATCTTTAATTGGTAATTCCATTAGTTATTTTCTTACTTTTTCTTTTACACCCGTATCTTAATGATACTATTATAAAATAATTTTGCCAAATATTTTTCTAAAAAATTTTTCAATACTCTCTTGTTTTGTAATTTTTATATCTCATTGCCAAATTTTTTAATGAAAAATTAATCGCGATTCGATCGTGCATTATGCATTATTATCGTCAGCACGTGTTCCATTCTGCATCGATATGGTAAACCACAGAAAAAGAAAACAAATTGGCTAAAGAATCTACGTTCCGAGGTCGTTCATTTTTCTTTCAGTATCCAGATATCTTTCCACGAGTCGGTCTCTCGTTCTCCTTGGACGTTGAATTACGTCATCTTTGACAGAGGAATGAATCGAACGATTTAAATCTTCTAATGGGACGTCATTTATTCCATTATGAAGAGTATCAATCGAAAAGTTCGTAACATTTTTGACAGTCTATTTAAAGTTTTCAATTTTTATCTACTTTCTCATCTATTAAAATTTCTCTTAAGATTTTTTCACGATTGTTAAAAAAGGATGTTTCCTATATTTCTTATATATACTATACTTTCAAAAAAAAAAAAAAAAAAGATTTTTTTTCTTGTTTTAATTTGAAAAAATTCGATTAAAGATCGAATTTAACATTTAGATCATTTAGATCGCTTAATTTTATTTGTTTGTTAATTTTATTTGTTGAACAATATTGAACTGAATTAAATATTAATATCCAAGAATATTAAGTATATATACTCGATAAAAGTTAGACACGATATTTGTAAGATACTGGATTCAAATTTCTCTTTGGATTGTGACAATTTCACGAGATATTCGATATCAGGTTTTGTAACGAAAAATATTCACCAACTATTAAATGTTAACACAGCCCCAAACTATTATCCCTATTCTTACATTCTCATTATTATCCTCTCTCATCACCATCACTCCAACAATTACCCAAGCTTCATACCTTCCGGAAATCACCAATCTCTTCACAATCGTTTCGATCTCAACTTCGGTTTCCATTTCAAGCTCATAATGCACCGATAAGTCGTTCCTCATGCTTTTTAATAAGTCTGATAACAAGCCTGCCGAGGCGCTCTCGACGATTGCAAATTGAATAGAGAGTCGCTAAAACTGATCGATCGCGTTCCCTCTCTCCTCTCCCATCTATCGGTGCAATCTAAATTGTTGAAAAAAAAAAAAGAAGAAGAAAAAGAAAAAGGAAAGAAAAGAGAGAAGGATAAAAAGAAAAAAAGAATCACCGAGTTTGGGCCATTGTTGCGTGTTTCGCCGTTATTAAAAACCCTCCTCGGGATATTCGAAATACGTATCCGGGTTGTAGGCCTTGTTCCTTTGCCGAAGTCGAGTATAATCGGCGTCGATAACGAGCACAGTGCTCCAGATAGAACGGAATCGTTATTGGAAATATCCAGTCTTCCGCCGTTGCATATCCTCTCGAGTGTGACCCGTATTTGCGGAAGACGATCTTTTGCACTCTTCTTCCGGATCTTAACTCTTCGATCTACTGTCTGCGGAAGATGGGATATATGTTTTGTTTCTGTTGTCTGATTTTTTCTTTTTTTTTTTATTTAATCGAATAAAAAATGAAAATATTCGAATGGAAAATTGATATTACGTATCGTTTAAATAAATTTGAATATGACGCGTAATATGGAAGAGGAGATTTAAGTTTATTTAAAATTTTAACATCTCATTTTTCATCTTTTCATTGAACAGTTTGTGAAATTTCTTTAATTTTTTTATTAATTAAAACCAATTTTAGATAGAGGAGATAACGAGGAAAGGGAAAAAATATGATGAAATTTTGGCGCAAAGAAAACCGTGGTTTCCAACATTGTTTGAATTAATTGTAAAAAAAAAGGAAACGATGAGACGAAGAGATGAAGAGGTTCAACGACAAACGAACTCGGTGGATCTACGGTAGCGTACTAGTAGTAGCTTCTAGAAAATCGTTCTCCTTTCTCATAACCGACCTACATTTGCGAAACAACCATCTGTTCTCGGCCCAAATTTCTCGTTGGTCCTCCAGTTTCCCTTTGATTCCGTGTATCGTCGAAAATATTTTCCTCGGTACTGACTGAAAAATTTCCCTGTAGCAAGATAGAAATTCTATGCTACATTTTTGAAATTAAAAAATTTCACGGATTGATTTTATCGTTAAAAATAAAAAAAAGGAATGAAAAAAATACTCGGAATTCATCGAAATTGAAAAAAATTGAATATTAATAGAATATTTCTGATATTTTAGAATATTCATCAATTTTGAAATATAACATTCTACTTTTATAATATTTCGAATATTCAATAGCGAGATTTGGAAATTCAACAAATATTCAATATTCCTTAAATTTTGAATAAAATTCACAATTAAAATTCACCAAGTATTCAATATTCATCAAGTATCCATCATCGACCCATTAGAAGACTTCGAAACGATTCATCGGATAATACCAAAGCATTCATCAAATATTAAACGCGTGGAACTGGCTTAAAAGCCAGCCATGCACGTTGGATGCACGGTGAAATGAGACGACCGAAAGAACTCACAATGGATCTCGCGCAAGATGCATACATCCCTTTATGTATCGTCCACCGTTGTACAATGTACACGGGCCGCGTATGTATACTCTGTTGCGTGGATTTTCTGATACATGGGCAACGTGTTCTCGCGTGTTACGCCACGGTTCGTGTAATTTTACGCGGCGTAACCGTTCGTCTCTGATTTAATAGAAAACAAAAGAACGCACAGATTCCTGTTCGCGTGGAGACGAAAAATCCTGGATGAGCAACTATGTATATACGCTGAGAATTATTCTGCCTTCCTCGATACGATTACGACTAGCAAATCGATTGATTTTTTTGCGTTTTTACAATTATTAAAAATATAGAAACGCGCTTTTGGAAGATATTAATTTTTATTCGAATAGAAAATACATATTTTACTTATTCAATTATTTTTATAATGATATTTTAAAACCATTTATGAACGATATAATACATAAACACATATTATAATTGATAGTTTATGTATTGAAATGTTTTATCTAGATTACACGAGAATTGAAATTTTTATTATTTTCTTTGTGGGAAAAGTTCATTCTTGTTTAGAAAAAATAAGTCGGATCTGTTCTTAAATTCTTAAAAGATAGATATAAAAATTTAAAAGTGAATTTTTAACTTATTTGAAAGTGAGGATAATAATTATATTTTTTACAATAGATCAAGTATAATTATAATATACTTTCAAGTATAATTATTCAAGAAAATTATTTTCACCGAGATGATTGATTATAATAACTTTCTCAAATCGCACGTTTCATTGTCTCTGTTGCGAATATATGGATTCCATTTATTTCATTTACATTTTTACTGGCCGATTACATGCAACTTGCATACTCAAACACAAGACCACATCTTGATTGGCAATTGTATCATCAGTATTAAAATACTGAATTTTTATGCAAGCCAATTAGAAGAGATTATTAGAAGATTTAATAGATTAAATTAACTTGCTCTTTCTATGTAAATTTAAAATCTTACAATGTAATTTTTATCACATTTTTTCATACGAATCTTCTCATACCAGAGAACATTGAGAAATTTTTTCTCATGCAAATAAATTTTCTTTTCTCCCTTTCTCTCTCTTATGAGGAAAAAAAAATGTTTTCATTTATTATTTTTTTTCAACTATTTCATTTATTCTAGCAACATAATGACGATTCAGCTAAATTTAAAAATCTTTTCAGAAAATAATCCAAAAATTATTCATTTTAATTTTCTAAAAATACCACGTTTCATTCCCTGCTCCAGTTATCCCAAAGCAAAGTTTTCCCTTCAAGTATCCGTGATATACACGCGAAAATCAAGTGGCCCGGAAATAGTTCTCGCCATAGCACGAGAAGCCAATTACAAACCTGAATGAACATGAAGAACTTCGTGTTTATTGTATTAATTTTCCATCGATTTGATTTGTTAATTCTTCTTTTCAAAAGTTAAGTCGTCGTAAGTGATGTTGCAGGTTCCTTCGTCTTGTAATGCAATTTATAAAGTATACGCGAGAATCAAAATTGCATTAAATATTAACAATAGATTCGATCGTTTATTGGAAGGGATGCGTAGTAACCTTCACGGATATTCCAAAGGGGTTTATAATTAAAACATTAAACATCTATTGATGCCAGGGTCGTGTATCACTACGTACGTTTTTTAATATTCTTCATGTTAATGTCAAAACATTTTTCCTTGATTCAGGAGTTCTGTAAAGAATTGTATAAGAACCTCCAGAATATAAAATAATCTTAAACTCAAGAGCATTAATGTATCACATTTTATTTATTATATTTGTATGAGTAATATTCTGATTTTTTTAACAGAGATTGAGCAAAGAAAAATAAATACATTATTAATTAATTATCAATTATTTTTCTGTAATATTACAAAGATTAAGTAAGATGCAGCATCTGTAACAAGTGAAATATCAAAATATTTTCTTTTGATATCAAGAGATCTATGAACCTCTGAAATATAATGTCTTAAATTAAAGCATCAAGATATCAAATTCAATTACTTACTTCTATTATATGCAATATTCTAATTTTTTAATAAAGATTAAACTAAGATTAAAAGTACTTAATTATTTATCAATTATTCTTCTAATATTAGTAAGATTAAATGATGCAGCATCTGTAGTGATTAATATTCATCTTTAATTTAAAAAAAAAATCATTGATTACTAAATACAAATTGCATAACAATGAAAATTATAATTTGCTCCAGATATAGTAAGGGTTGTAAATAATTAATGATGAAATTTGTATTATGTAGCCCTTATCAATAACCAGGTGCTATCCCACATTAAGTAGCACTCGTGTCGAGATGAAAGATAAGATGAATGCGAACTTTTCAAAAGTAGTTTGAATACTAAATTTCTATGATTGGCAAAGGACTTAGACTATTAACTACGCTATCAACTATCTTTTGGCTAACATTTGGTAAAGAGGATCACGTTTAAAAAAACTGGTCACTAGTAGTTCACGCTAAAATTATTCCTTATAACTATTATGTGAAACTATCCATTGTGAAAACTTCTAAAAATTCTTTATTATTTTTGTAGAAAAATTTGAATATATTCAAAATGGAGATCCAAACCAAAGAAAATTCCAGTAATGAAGTAAAGAAAGATTTAAGGGAAAGTACGATATAAACATATAAATATATAAATAAGAAATAGTAAAAAAAGAAAAAGAAAAAATAAATGTATTTAAAAAAAAAGAAAGTGGATTGCAGCAATGAGAGAAACAACACCAAGTACGAAAAAACGACACCAAGTACAAAAACACCAAGATAAAAAGATTTCGAAAATGAAGATAATGTTATATGCATGATAGAGATATTAAGATATTTAGAAGAAGAAAATGTTAATATAGTAAGAGCATTAGAGATTCGATAAATAGATACACAGAAGTATCAGCACTAAGGGGATAATGAGATAATGTTATATTTTATATCGTTGAGATCTAAGAAATCCAAAATTTCAAATGTTATTAAATTCTTGACCGATTTCTTTGTTGTTGTTTGCTGATATACATTCAAGAAAGTTTGTTATTCATCGATAATTAAGTGTTTAAGATTTATCGGGATCGATGATCGAGATAATCACAACTTCCTCCTTAGTAATTTCGCAGAGGCTCTTGCATGCTGCATACTAAAGCTGTGCAGTTGAGGAACGTGTAACATATTAGAGATATAAGACTGGAATAGCAGCGCTGTTTTAAGGTTACGAGAGCTTGCGAGCTTCAAAGTGGGTCAAAAGCCAGCGTGCCAGTACACTCGTACAACCTACTTGGAACGCATTCGAGCGGAGTCGCAAATATTCTTTCGCATCGTCTCCTCGCGACGGGGAATATGTCAACACGACAACAGTTTTTAATCAAAATCAATTTGGATGTGAAGTTGAAAAAGTTTTAATTGATAAAGCTACCGGTGATTGATAACGAATGATTAAAAAATAAAAAAATATACATTTCAGAAAATATTCTCATCAAGACCATTCATCTTTGCGCTTCTTTTCACTTTTGAAATGAAACTTCTTTTGCATTGGATTTGTCAAAGATAGTTGGAATCAATACGTCTACTATAGAAAAGGAAGATTCAACGAGGGAAAGGAATAGAAAACTACTTGTAGTCTCTTGTGCATACTTTATATTATTCTTCTTTCTATATTTTATCTGTATTTATATTGTTCATGTTGACTGTCTGCTCGCGAAACATTATACAGAAATCTTGATATGAAGAGAGATTTTCTTGCTCTGTTTTCTTCGTCTATTGAAAATCCGGAAGGAATGTAAGCGGAATATAAAGCGGAACGGTGAAATTCGTCTATTACTTGAACCGTAAATTTGGAGTATTCGGATAATTAACAATAATTAATAATAAATGTGACACAGAATTTTTTCTCATTTTTCTCTTTTTATTTTTTAAAAAAGGAGTATATTATTTATATTGTATAATATGTGGAAAATTAATTATATTTAATTACGTATCAATTTTTAAAATTAATACTTTTTCATTTGCGCAGTCACTTATCATTAATTTTAATAGATCAGAATTGAGAAATGTAAAATTTTTTTTACCATTAATAATAAGTAGCTTAGTGATATTATCATTTATAGAGTAATTAATTAATTTTCTACTTTACACAAATATTCTTTCGTTCCACATTAATTTTTAATTTTAATCATCATCAGCATTAAAAAGATATTAATATTAATAATACAAACATCTTCTAACTAGATCCTCAAGTGTGAAGATTTTTAGAAATAGTAATTTTTTATAATTATAATATCTCATTTACTTATTTCTCTTAATTTTTGTGCCTCTTCCCGCGATTGCCATTATTTCCTGGCAATAGAAACACTCTCTGAATAGCAATATTGTATCATTTTCTCGTTAATTGTACTAATTAACCATTCTCCGTGTCGGCTGTATAATTATTTTATTCAACTCCATCATCAGAATCTATAATCTGTATCATTAACAGAAAATTGCGATTAATCCAATTATAAAATCACTATTAAAATTTAATCGAGTATAAGAAACAGGAATGCAATTATAATGAATAAAAATTTTTTTTAGAAACTCGTTAAAAAAAATAGCAATATATATAATATATATATACTTACAATAATAAAACTTTACTTACTTACTTACAATAATAAAACTTTGACACAAATAATAACAAAACTTTTCAATTCAAAAAAATTTATTCAATTTTTTTTTTTTTTTTTTTTTTTACTCCATAATATCATATAATTTTGAAGTTTCTTTCTTTTCTCTTCTCTTCACGTATGTGAAAAATCAATTGAATATGTATTTTGTCAGATAAAATAATAAGTATTAATTATAATTATTATAACATTTAATTATTATTATAACATTATTTAATATTAACAATCTTTTTATTTTAAATAATACATTCTCATCTTCATGATCAAATTCTCTCGGAGCAATACAATTTGATATATTTCTATTAAATGTTTTGTATTAAAAATTGAAAAATATAGTTAAAATAATTGTAGAACGTGAAAAAAATTTTTTTTTTCTTATGAGTCAAATTCGTTCTCTCAACAATTTTGTTATATATTCTTTATAATCTCCTTATATTAATTATTTAATCATAATTTAAGATTGAGACACGATAAATAATTCAAAATGATGTCGTCGTATCTACTCGATACACGATTCAAACGAAAAGATAGAATAAATCATTTTAAAACGACAGGAAGCAGTGGGGTCCGGATTATTTCCAGTGGATGAGATATAGTTGTGTCCCAGTGGGAAACGTGAGACGATATTGGTATTCTGCCAGGCTAGAACAATGTATGGTCTCTCTCGTAGGGATAGAAAAAAGCCAAACGCCAGGGTCTCTTCTTGGCACGAAAGAATGATGCTCCACGATAATTACAACCTGTAAATACAGCGTGCGCTTATTTATCATGTATGCGACACGGGGTTGGATTAAATATTAGTTGAAATATTGAAAGGAAGCGCATTTCTATAAAAGCGATGAAGAAAACTATTGATTTCTAGATACTATTATAATATCTATTGGATAATCTATTGGACTGACAAAGAAAAATTAAAATATCATTAAACACATTAAAATGTTGTTAAGTAATAATAATTAAATTGCGGAAATTTATGCATTTATAGGATATTTAAATATGCAAAAATCTACAGAATGCATACGATATACAAAAAAAAGCAAAACATCCAATGCAAAATACTTATTGTAATATTTCAATGAAATAAATTTTTATTTCATCTCTATTTACGAATTGTCCGCGTTCTATGTTAAAGTATATTTTATTTAATGTCAACCAGAGACAGACAAGAACTGGAATGCTTAGAATGTTAATCGTTTAATGGGGTATAATCGGTTAATAGGAGTCTGCATTCAGCCGAAGACTCCCATACAAGCCGGATGATCACGTACGTATCTTCCCTTCGTATTCCTTCGTTCATTTTTTATTTCAACGGTGAAAATCATTTTGTCGTTAGAGAAGATTTATTGGCACAATTGTGAAAGAAGATAGAAAACAAAATGTTGAGTAAAAAAAGAATAATTGTGTAAAAGAATTATAGATTAGGAAGATTTAAAAAAAAAAAATTGACTTTTCGATCTCTATGTATGTTAATGTAAAAAGAATTAAGAAAGTTCGGTTTAAGTTAAATTAGAAAAATAATAAAAAAAAAAAAAAAAGAATAGAAAGCAAAATATTGATATCAAAAGCTAGAAATTGATTCTTCGCTTATAACGAGGAAACATAAATTAGAATAAATCAATAATTATAATAATTATAATTGATATTAATTGTGCAGGACGTGGAATGATAAATGGTTGCTACCAGCAGTATGGTGTATGAGGAGATAGTCGGTATACGGGGCAGCTGACCCCAGCCGCCGCGCACGCTTTTCACGCGCGAAATGCCCCATAATTTAAATTCTGCTTCCGTCAACTCCGCCAATACGGGATCGAATCACCAGGCCTACATCCAACAACTTTATCACCGACAAAATGGAGATGGACTTCTTCAACCTGAAGTATATCAATATTATTATTCGTGT